GATGAGGTCTCGCTGCCCAGGCGGGTCTCGAACCCGCGGGCTCAGGCGATCCACTCACCTGAGCCTCCCAAAGGCGCAGGATTACAGGCTGAGCCACCGAGCCCGGCAAACGGAGAGTATTTTGTAGGTGACTGATGTTTAAATGTGTAAGAATAAATACACCATTTTTTATAAACAAATTCTGTATTTTGGGTCTCCATAGTATATTGTTCTACAAGCTTTTCCTGTTCTCACACAGTATTGTGGACTGTCATTCTGTGTCATTTTGTTCACAGATCTATTAGTGACAACAGAATATATGGATGCACTGTCATGATTTTTCTTTTTGAGTTGGAGTCTCACTCTGTCACCCAGGCTGGAGTGCAGTGGCATGCTCACGGCCACTGCAGCCTTGACCTGCTGGGCTCAGGCCATCCTTCCGCCTCAGCCTTCCAAGTAGCTAGAACTATAGGTGGGTGCTACCATGCCAGGCTAATTTATTATTATTATTATTTATTGTAGAGATGAGGTCTTGCCAAGTTGCCCAGGCGGGTCTTGAACCCGTGGGCTCAGGCAATCCTCTCACCTCGGCCTCCCAAAGTGCTGGGATTACAGGCTTGAGCCACTGCACCTGGCCCACTGTCATGATTTAACCAGTCCCTCTATTGACTTCGACTTAGAATTGTTTCTGTTTTTCTTTTCTTTTATTTTGAGTTGGAGTCTCATTCTGTCACCCAGGCTGGAGTGCAGTGGCATACTCACGGCCACCACAGCCTCAACCTGCTGGACTCAGGTGATCTTCCAGCCTCAGCCTTCCAAGCAGCTGGAACTACAGGTGTGTGCCACCACACCTGGCTGACCTTTTGACATATTGTAGAGATGAAGTCTCGCCAAGTTGCCCAGGTGGGTCTCAAACCCCTGGGCTCAGGCAGTCCTCTCACCTCGGTCTCCCAAAGTGCCAGAATTATAGGCATGTGTTACCACACCCAGCCTTTTTCTGTTTTTCTTTACAAAATGCTCTTTGGTGAATACTCTTATTCATTTCTCTCTGTGCACATGTAGAATAAATTCCTAGTAAATAGCTGGACCAAAGGGTATGAGCATATAATTTTGGACCAGTATTAATAAGCCACCTGCTGTAAGCTGTACTAGTTTGCAGTCCTTCTAACAGTGCATGGCCCTTGGCATCATGTCCCTTCTTACTATTTAAAATCTTCACTAATTTCATATTTAAGAAGTAAAAATGGCTTTGATTTGCATCTCCTTCATGGTTAATGAGAAAGAACATTTCTTTTTGTTTTTATCTGCTGGCCCCATGTGTTGCTCTTCCGACATTACTTATCCATGTGACCTTGACTGTTTTCCAGATGTCTCTTTGCCCGCATGGTTCTAAGCCTGGAGCCTAGGAGGGATCCGAATCTAGCTTCTCATAACTCTGGATTCCTTCTCCCCAGGTGGACGAGACTCAGTTTAATAAGATCCTTGGCTATATCAACTCTGGGAAGCAGGAGGGGGCAAAGCTGCTGTGTGGCGGGGGGGCCGCCGCCGACCGTGGCTACTTCATCCAGCCTACCGTGTTCGGAGACGTGCAAGACGGCATGACCATCGCCAAAGAGGAGGTGAGTGCCAGGGGTCAATGCTCCGGGGAACATTCTTGGTGGGAGAGGGGAGGTGGGCGCATCAGTGTGGCATTTTTTTTTTTTAGTTGGAGTCTCACTTTGTCACCCAGGCTGGAGTGCAGTGGCATGCTCACGGACTCAGACGGTCCTTCCGCTTCAACCTTCCAAGTAGCCGGAACTACAGGCTACCACGCCTGGCTAATTTTTTGATTTATTATAGAGACAAGGTCTCACCAAGTTGCCCAGGCTGGTCTCGAACTCCAGGACTCAGGCAGTCCTTTCGCTGCACTTCCCAAAGTGCTGGGATTACAGGCTTGAGTTGCAGCACCCGGCCAGTGTGGCATCTTGACACTGTGACTCATCTGCTGATTTTGGACCAGATCTTGGCTCTGTGCCTGGAACAGGTGATTTCCAGGTTGCCTGCTGTCACTCTCCTTAGCCTTTTGTGGCACCGTCGTACATTGTCTGGGAGAACATCTGCATTCCCTAGCATAGCCTACGGGCCTTTTTTCTGGCCCTGAGAGCAGAGTCGAGGAGTGACGTCGCCTGGCTCTTCCCATGGCCTTCATATAAGCAGGACATCAGATTGGGTCAAGGGCTGCCTCCCCGTGATGAGATTGCTTCGATGTCTCCCCCTAGGCGTTCATTGTAAATGCAGGGCAGTGGCTCTGTCTAATTCACTTCACAAATACACAGTGGATGCTTGCTATGTTCTGGGCTCTCTACAGACCTCGAGATACAGGCATCCAGGATGTGTTCTCTGCCCTCGTGGTGTTCATGTTCATTCCACTTCCCCAGCTGGAGTAAGCCCTACACAGGAAACACGTATGGCGTTGCCTTCTTCCATGTATAGGTTAAAATAAAATAATAGTAAAATATAAAACCAGGGTAAGAAAGTCCAACAGGGCTCTGCCCTTTGGCCTGTCGTGACTACTGTGATGCTTTCCTTTTTGTTGTTGTTGACTTGGAGTCTCACTCTGTTGCCCAGGCTGAAGTGCAGTAACACAGTCACAACTCACTGCAGCCTTGTCCTCCTGGGCTCAGGTGATCCTTCTGCCTCAGCCTCCCGAGTAGCTGGGATTACCGGCATGTGCCACCATGCCCGGCTAATTTTTTAATTTCTTTGTAGAGATGAGGTCTCACGATGTTGCTCAGGCTGGTCTTAAACTCCTGGGCTCAAGCAATCCTCCTACCTTGTCCTCCCAAAGTGCTGGGATTACAGGTGTGAGCCGCTGTGCCCAGCCTTTGATGCTTTTCTTGAAAATCTCAAATAGTTTTCTGGAAGGGCAGGAGATGTCTCTGCTTTGCTTGTTCCTGAAGCATGTGGTGCCTCGACTCACAGTCCTTAACTCCAGCCGCGATGAGTCCAGCCATGGTGAGCTTCTGGTCGTCTCCTCTCACCTCTGTCATTATGCTCTCCAGTCCTGGAATCAGCCATTTCTTCCCCGAGTCCTGGTTCCTTCCAGTGGAGGATGGGATCATGTGGGAATGGGCACCAGGTATGCTTGTGCCTGGGCGTCCAGGTCCCCCATCTCTGCTCCTCACCCTGCTCCTGTTTGGCCAGTTTCTGTTTTTGTAGCATGACACATCTGTCACTTCTGTAAAGCCTTCCTGACCCCCTCCTCCCCAGCACCCAGTCAGGCCCTTCTGGACTCCCATCTTTTATCCCCCTTTGTGGAATGATTGCATTTTAATCACAATCAAATCCCCTGTGGTCTCCGACAGACCCCAACAGCAACAAGCACATCTACCCCTTACGCCTTAGTTTCCAAATACCATTCTCCACGAAAAGGAACCAGAGTTCCTTCCATGTCGAAATGGCTCTTTCCAGGAATAGGACAGGGAAAGTACAAGATAAACCTGAAGCGTCCTGAGAGCCAAGACCACACTTCTCATAGTAGTTTCTTCAGCATCCAGTCTGTGCTTCATGCTGGGAGTCTTTTTGCTGGATGCTGACTTAAGCTCTTTGACACTACAGCTACTTGTCACATGAGAATTAACTCATACCTTTCAGGATTGCTTAGAAATAAGATACTATATGCAAAGCATGGGGTGCATAGAAGGTAACCACCCCATTAGCCTCCTCTGCTCTGTGTTCTGGTGAACTTGAGGCTGTCGTCTCCTCCTGGAACTTTGGGCTCATTGCCACATCTGGAATCATCTGTTCAGCTCTGTGAATGCTTGCTAGCAGGTGTTTCTGTGTTTCCACGCCCTGATCCTTTGCTCTCTCTCTCTCCAGATCTTCGGGCCTGTGATGCAGATCCTGAAGTTCAAGACAATTGAGGAAGTTGTCAGGAGAGCCAACAATTCCAAGTATGGGCTGGCTGCAGCTGTCTTCACAAAGGACTTGGACAAGGCCAATTATCTGTCCCAAACGCTCCAGGCTGGCACCGTGTGGTAAGAGGCTTCTTCAATCCAGCAGAGATTCTCCATAGCCAGGGCCTTCTGGAATCCAGTGCTCACCATCGGGAATTTGTGGAGCTGGGCTCAGTTTCTCCTGGGTCAGGATGTGGCCAATAGATTGGAGAGTTCCTGGCACCTCACCTCCAGGAAATCAACTTCTCTCCTGTGCAAATGCCCCTGCGGCTGTGCTTGACAAGCAGCCGGGTCACTAGGGCTCCTCAAAAGCTGCCACCAGGGCAGGAGCCCAGAGCTGAAGGTGCCTGTGACTGTAACACTGATCCTAAAAGCTTGGCACCTACTTCACACCTACTAGGATGACTGTCATTTTAAAAAATGAAAAACAGACTGGGCTTGGTGTCTCAGCCTCTAATCCCAGCACTTTGGGAGGCCAAGGCGAGTGAATTGCTGGAGTCCGTGGGTTTGAGACCCGCCCGGGCAATGTGGGGAGACCTCATCTCCACAATAAATCAAAAATTAGCCAGGCGTGGTAGTGTGCACTTGTAGTTCCAGCTACTTGGAAGGCTGAGGCGGAAGGATCACTGGAGCCCAGCAGGTTGAGCTGCGGTCGGCCATTGCACTCCAGTCTGGGTGACAGAGTGAGACTCCAACTCAAAAAGAAAAACAAGTGTTGGTGAGGTTGTGGAGAAATTGGAGCCCTCATACATTTGCTGGTAGGAATGGGAAATGATGTAGTCATTGTGGAAAATAGTTTGGCAGTTCCTCAAAAAGCTACATTTGGAGCTACCATATCACCCAGCAAACCCACCCCTTAGGTATCTACCCAAGAGAAATAAAAACATATCCATACAAAGACATGCACATGAGGCCAGGTGTGGTGGCTTACGCCTGTAATCCCAGCACTTTGGGAGGCTGAGACTGGAGGATTGCTTGTGCCCTGGAGTTCAAGACTAGCCTAGGCAACATAGCCAGACCTCATTTCTCCAAAAAAGTAAAAAAAGATGCAGGGCATGGTGACACATATCTATAGTTCCAGCTATTCCAGAGGCTGAGGCAGAAGGATTGCCTGAGCCCAGGAGGTCAAGGCTGCAGTGAGCTGTGATGGTATCACTGTACTCCAACTTGTACGACAGAGTGAGTCCTTGACTCAGAAACAACAACAACATGTACACAAATGTTTACAGCAGTATTATTCACAACAGTCAAACGGTGGAAACAACCCAAATGTCCATCAACAGGATAAATAAGCAAAATGTTGTCTATCCATAGAATGGAATGTTATTCGACCATAAAAAAGAACGAAACACTGATACACACTATAACATGGATGACCTGTGGAAATATGACAATATGTGAAAGAAGACAAGCACAAAAGGCCATATGCTGTATGATTCCATTTCCACTAAATATCTAGAACTGATAAACCACAAAGACAGAAAGTGTATTCGTGGTTGCCAGGGACTGGGGGAGGGAGGAATGGGGAGTGACTGCTTCTTGGGCACAGAGCTGCTTTTTGGGGTAATACAAATGTTCTGGACTAAGACAGTGGTGATGGTTACACAACTGTAACCATCTTAAAAGGTACACCTTAAAAGGGAGCATTTTATTTATTTATTTATTTTGAGTTGGAGTCTCACTCTGTCGCCCAGACTGGAGTGCAGTGGCCGCTCCCGGCCACCGCAGCCTCCACCTGCTGGGCTCCCGGCGATCCTTCCACCTCAGGCTTCCAAGCAACTGGAATTACAGGTGTGCACTACCACACTCGGCTAATTTTTTGATTTATTGTAGAGATGAGGTCTCGCCAAGTTGCTCAGGCGGGTCTCGAACCCGCTGGCTCAGGCAATCCACTCACCTCAGCCTCTCAAAGGCACAGGATTACAGGCTGAGCCACTGAACCTGGCTAAAAGGAAGAATTTTAAATCCAATTTAATTTAATAATCTTTTTAATTACCCACCCAAAAAAAAGCCTAGCACCTAATTAGCCAAAATGATTCATTCAAATGGGAAGCTGTGCCATGGTGCCCTCTGTTATTTATTTTTGAGTTGGAGTCTCACTCTGTCACCCAGACTAGAGGGCAGTGGCATACTCATGGCTACCTCAGCCTCCACCTGCTGGGCTCAGGCGATCCTTCCGCCTCAGCCTTCCTAGTAGCTGGAATTACAGGCATGCACCACCACTCCTGGCTAATTTTTTAAATTTATTATAGAGATGAACTCTCACCAGATTGCCCAGGCTGGTCTCGAACCCATGAGCTCAGGCAATCCTCTCACCTCGGCCTCCCTAAGTGCTGGGATTATAGGCATGAGCCACCACGCCCAGCTGTGCCCTCTGTTATTGACAGACATCACCTGTGACCACGTGATGGATGAAGATGCCACAGGCTCAATCTCACGGGCCTTGCTTTGGACGCCTTTATGGCTGCTTTTACCATCTTTCCCAATACGATTTTAGAGCAAGGGAGGGAATCCTAGGGGTATAACACATAACCCCCAAGAGTGATTTCTACAATCTCATTTCAAATTACAGGGTTAACTGCTATGATGTGTTTGGTGCCCAGTCACCATTTGGTGGCTACAAGATGTCGGGGAGCGGCCGGGAACTAGGCGAGTATGGTCTTCAGGCATACACCGAAGTGAAGACCGTGAGTACGGGGCCTGCCATGGGTGTGAGGCCTGCTGTGGGTATGGGGCTTGCTCTGTGTGCCACTCCTCAGCCTCTCTCGTGCTTGAAATCATCAGTGTTCCATCCTAATTTCTTGTTTTAAGCCCAAGAAACTAAAACAGAGAGTAAAGACCCAGTCTTGAGCCAGGTGTGGCAGCTCACGCCTGTAATCCCAGCACTTTGGGAGGCGGAGGTGAATTACCTGAGCTCAGGGGTTCGAGACCAGCCTGAGCAACATGGTGAGACCTCATCTCTACAATAAATCAAAAAGTTAGCCGGGCATAGTGGCATGTGCCTATAGTTCCAGCTATTGGAAGACTGAAACAGAAGGATTGCCTGAGCCCAGCAGGTTGAGGCTGCGGTGTCTGTGATTGTACCACTGCACTCCAGCCTGGGTGGCAGAGTGAGACTCCAACTCAAAAAAAAAAAAAAAGACCCAGCCTCTGTACTGTCCCATGAGAAGTAACTAGGGACTTGCCCCCACCAGGCCTGCACAGCCATTTGCTGGGCTTTGTTCTACATCAAAGCCTATAAGGGATCAGGAGTCCCCAGGAAAAACTTCTAGTTAGAAATCAGCTATCAGGTATCAGATATCAAGGGCCATAACTGTCCTACTCCTTTCAGTGGTAGGAATTCAGCCAGAAGAACAGCATAAACCCAGTTTTAGAACAATATGTGTACATACATAGATACTCAGATACATTTATTTATAAATATAAAAAGACAGGAAGAAGCCAGGCATGATGGCTCACACCTGTAGTCCCAGCTATGTGGAAGGCTGAGGTGAAATACTTGCCTGAGGCCAGCCTGGGAAAACATGAGACCCTGTCTCTAAAAATAAAAAATAAAAATAATAAAAAAAACAGGATGGCCAGGCTCGGTGGCTCAGCCTGTAATCCCAGCACTTTGGGAGGCCAAGGCGAGTGGATTATCTGAGCCTGTGGGTTTGAGACCAGCCCAGGCAACTTGGCGAGATTACTTGCAAGGCTGAGGCAGAAGGATCACTGGAGCCCAGCAGGTTGACGCTGGGGTGGCTGTGAGCGTGCCACTGCACCCCAGCCTGGGCAATGAAGTGAGACTCCAACTCAAAAACAAAAAACAAAAAACAGGAAGGAAACACTAAAGTGAAAATTATCTTCTCTCTACAATGAAAACTAATTACGGTTTAAGCAGGAAACACAGGCACAAATGCTATTTAAAGAAAAGAGACCCACCTGGGCAACTTGGCGAGACCTCATCTCTACAATAAATAAAAAAAATCAGCCGGGCATGGTAGCGCACACCTGTAGTTCCAGCTACTTGGAAGGCTGAGGCGGCAGGATCGCCGGAGCCCAGCGGGTCGAGGCTGCAGTGGCCGGGAGCGGTGACAGAGTGAGACTCCAACTCAAAAAAATAAAATAATAAATACAGAAAAGAGAACAGGTGGAGCCAGGCTTTCCCAGGATTGGAAATGAGAAAGCTCAGGGCGGCCAGCTGGGGCGCAGGCGAACGGCAGACCAGCTCATTCAGGATCTAACCTGAGACAAGAGGGACCAGGGGACATGCCTGTGTTCTCCCCATGCTCACTGGATAAACGAAATGCATTCGCTTATTTATTGGGGAAACTTTCCAGTACATGCAAGAACAGGTATAATAGTATACTGAGCCCACGTGTCCCTGCCACGGATCTGTGACCACAGCCCACGTCATGTTTTCTGCATGCCTCACCTACTTCCCAGTGCAGGCTCTTCATACGACCTACGTATAGCCCAGGGCAGCTGCAAGGTGACCCACGAGGGTGGAAAGCTTGTGCTGGGTTTTGGGGGATGCCTTTGGGTAGAGAGATTCAGCTTCACTTGACAGAGACTCTTAAAGCTTGGAACACGGTTAGCGTTAAGGAGGAGACATCCAGGATGCCTATGAGGCAAGGTAATATTTAAGCTGATACCTGAATGACGAGCGGAAGTGGAGTTGGTGAAGGGAGGAAGGGAGGCACATTCTAGACAAAGAATATCCTTATGGAAAAGCTGTGGTGGCAGGAAGCATGGCCCTTCGGGAACTGAAGGAAGGCTACGGTGGTGGAAGATGCAGTGGTTTTGGGGAGTGAGTGGGTCACACTGAGACACCTGTGAGCTTAAGGGCATGATTTTTTCCTTGCTTTGGTTCTTGTGGAGGAAAACGGTCAGAGTTTCTGCACCTCAGCACTGTTGTCTGGGGCTGGGTGATTCCTTGTTGTGGGGACTGCCCTGTGCAATGTAACATAGGCTGCTTGGCAGAGTCCCGACCTCAAGCCACTGGATGCCAGTGGCGCCATCCCCCAAGACAACCAAAATGTCTGCAGATGGGCCAGACGTCCCCTGGGGACCTGAGCACCCCTGGTTGAGAACCACTGGGCCAAGGGCAGGCGGGGTAGACACAGCCCTAGGGGCTCCCAGGACCAGCCAATTGGCCAGCGAGAGTTGGAAGGAAGAAGAGCCCCTCTGTTTGTATTTGGGTGCTCCCGGTTGAGGGTACCCACAGACCTCAGGGGAGCATGATGTCCTAACAGCTTCTCTGTGCCTTTTTGCAGGTCACAGTCAAAGTTCCTCAGAAGAACTCATAACCCTGCTGGCTGCCTTCGCATCCAGTGGTGAGAGTTCAATGACATGGGTTGGTGAGGTGAAGAATATGTGGAAAACCTTTCAAACTGCACCAATACGGCTAGCTTTCAGGATGGTTTTTTAAAAATGTATTCAGATGCCTTTGCTTGTCTCTGACACACTTCCCTTAACTTGCCTTTGTGGGGAAAGAAATAACCAGTGTTTACAATCATGTTAGCTTTGCAGCAACTGCTAGCACCTTGCTTTGTATTCTGGACTAAAATTCATTAAAAATGGGCTGCTCATAACTTTTTGGGTAAGTCTTCCTCCATCTCCGTAACCCAAGGAAATACTGCCAGGCAGGGATGTTGTCCCTTGGTGGTGGCACACTGTGAGTCCTACCCTTCCCCTGCTTGGAGCAAATGGCTTTTGCTTCATGCATTTAATTAACAAATCACCTGTGGCAGACCCTGGGATGGGCTCTAAGAACGAAACCTAAACTCTCACAACCCCTGCCCTGGGAGGATGGGGGGTAGAAACCGGAAAGAGACATTGAACTGCCAAGGTAGGTTCTCAGTTTTGTAAGGTCCAAAACCTGGCCAGACCCACTGAAGTAGAGTTGTGCTGGATGACCTTCGTAAGAGTGATTTGGAAACAAGGCGTCAGTTTATTCAGCTTAGGCCAGGTTGGTGTCTTCAGTAGCCAGACCTCTTGAGTCTCCTCTCCAGAACATGGCCTTCCTGGTGTCAAAGAGCCTGGCAAATTAGTAGATGGAACTCTTAATCCTTGGTAAACAGGCGATTCCTGACTGAAGACAATTTAGAGCAAAAAGAGGTGAATTGCAGAAGCAGTTTGTAAAGTCTGTGATCACAGATTCCTTTGAGAATCTGAGGACCTGTTTGACACTTTCCTGAGAAAAATGCACAAGCTAACCTGGTCTTACTTTGCTCAGACTGAACCACATCGTGATAAACAGTCCCTATTCCACTAAAGATGAATTTTAGTAATTTGAACAGTGCCACACAATTTTTGTCTTCTATTCTGAAAGCGTCGAAAAGCCAACATGAAATGACTTAGTGAAATAATCATAACTAAAGTGCAGCCATTTTAACATTGCTTAACTTTGTCATGTCTTTCTAGCAGTTTACTTTAATTTACCCTTTAATCACTAGCCAAGGAGAGAACCCCTTTCTCAGAGGTAGCTATTGATAATTGTTTTGCAGCCCCTCCCCAGCTTGTTTTGTATTAACTAACTGTTCTGTTCCAAGTATTTGCATAAGAAACATGTTAGCCGGGCTTGGTGGCTTAGCCCGTAATCCCGTGCCTCTGGGAGGCTGAGGTGAGTGGACTGCCTGAGCCCACGGGTTTGAGACCCACCTGGGCAGCGAGACCTCATCTCTACAATAAATCAAAAAATTAGCCGGTCGTGGTAGCGCGCGCCTGTAATTCCAGCTACTCGGAAGGCTGAGGCGGAAGGATCACCGGAGCCCAGCAGGTCGAGGCTGCGGTGGCGGGAGCGGCCACTGCACTCCAGTCTGGGTGACCGAGTGAGACTCCAACTCAAAAAAAAAAAGAAAGAAAGAGACACGTTAACCTAATCAGCCTTTCCTAAGTGACACAGACCCCATGACATGGCATTAGTCATGTGACTAGGTCACCCATCTGCCTGCCACTCATCACCTGACATCAGTGCCTGTGCTTATCTGATGACATTAAACAGACCACCACCCAGTTACTTTAACAACCTGCCCCCCATCAAAGGGAAGGTTTAAAAGCTTTCAGCCTCAAGCGCCATTCACCTTTGCTTTGGTCAGGCCATGTGGTTCTTTGAGCTATGGCCCCCATATTTTCCTTAGCTTTGGCCCCCTCTGCTACCTTGGGGAGGGGAATCTCCTCTCTCTTTCTAAATAAACTATATTTTCCAATCTAACTTCTGTGTAATTCTTTGCATCTTTTGTGCGGCACCGGATCACAGACACCCCACTTCCCTGCTGGTCTGACTTAACATTTTGGAAGCGCTGCTGGGATTTTGACCCAACACATACATACACCTGTACCATTACTTTCTGTTTTCTTCTATTGTTTGTTTATTTATTTATTTATTTTTGAGTTGGAGTCTCACTCTGTCGCCCAGGCTGGAGTGCAGTGGCCGCTCCTGGCCACCGCAGCCTCGACCTGCTGGGCTCCGGCGATCCCTCCGCCTCAGCCTCCCAAGTAGCTGGAACTAGAGGCACGCACTACCGCACCCGGCTAATTTTTTTGATTTATTGTAGAGATGAGGTCTCGCCAAGTTGCCCAGGCAGGTCTTGAACGCACGGGCTCAGGCAATCCACTCACTTCAGCCTCCCAAAGTGCTGGGATTACAGGCTGAGCCACCGAGCCCGGCCCATTCCCATCTTTTAGTGCTACGGACAAAGCTGCAATAAACCCTGCCTGTTAGGAGCGAATTGGAAAACAGAGAAATGAAATGTTTCTTGCTTCCTGGGCATGTGAATCAGACTCACTGCAGCTGTAAGACAATCAGCTCTTCTAACCAACGAATAAGAAAGTGACTACTAGCTGTACAGCAATGTCTATAATGTTGATGTTGACATCCTAGACACTTAATCTCCTTGCACTTTCGGTGACAGGAACCAGTTAGAACCTTAAGTAGTTGTCTGAAGTGAAAACAAAGTTCTCAGGTTATGAACAAGCTAATCTCTCTGGGTATTTGGATGTGGGTCAGTCACAGGAGTATTGGGTATAAAGCCGCTGTTTCTGGGTACAGTCTTGACGGGCCCCCAAGAGGATACGGTCAACTTGTGGCTGAACAAGGGACATAGGGAGCTTTTCACGCAGCCTGGAGAAGCCGGGCAGAGGAGGCGCTTCCTAAGTGTAGGCGCCATCTCGTGAGGCCTGAGTAGAACCACATGGCGGTCCTCTCCACCCACTGGTGTCCCAAGATGGGGCAGGCGGGGCAGACCATCCAGTGAGGGAATCAAGAGCCAGGGGCATGTCCCTGAAAGGATGGAAAGTAGGGACTCCAAGAAAAACTTGTGCACAGTGTCACAGCAGCACCAATCACAACAGCCAAAAGGTGGAAACAGCTTAAATGTCCATCAGCAGACAGACAAACACAATGTGACACATCCATACAGTAGACTGTGATTCAGCCCTAAAAAGGAAGTGGTGGTGCAGGCTGCAAAGTGAACACATCTTGAAAACGTTATGCTACATGAAAGAAGTCAGACACAAAAAGACAAGCACTGTATGATTTCACTCATACGAGGTGTCCAAAATAAGCATATCCACAGAGACAGGAAGCTGACTGGTGGTCGCCAGGGACCCCGGGGAGGGGGCAAATGGGGAGTGTGTGTTAACAGGCAGGGTGTCCTTTTGGGGTCATGAAAATGTTGGAACTGGATAGAGGTGGTGGTTCCACAACGTTGTGAATGTACTAAATGCTACCAAATTGTTCACTTTAAAACAGTACATTTTTTGTTATGTGAAATTCACCTCGACTGAGAAAACCCAGGTCCCAAAGCCAGTGAGAGGAGCTTGGGCTAGTTGAAGAATCTCTGTGCCTTTATTTCTTCACCGCCTCTGAAGTCACTTCCAGCTCTCAGTTGACTATTTTGTGAAGGATAAACGCGGACTTATATGTGTTCATTTACATTGATTTTTAAAAAACTTTTTAAAAAAAAGATGTGGGGTACAATTCAGGGTTAGGTATACAAACGTTGGTTGGTTATGCAGGTACCCTCATTTATATTTTGTTATTTTATTTTATCATTATTATATTATTTTATCATTATTATTTTATTAACCTTTTTGAAAAGGAAATAAATACATGTGGTTTAAAAAAAAATCAGAGCCGGGCTCAGTGGCTCAGCCTGTAATCCCGCGCCTCTGGGAGGCTGAGGTGAGTGGATTGCCTGAGCCTGCGGGTTCGAGACCCGCCTGGGCGGCAAGACCTCATCTCTACAATAAATCAAAAACTCAGCCGGGCGTGGTAGCACATGCCTGTAATTCCGGCTACTTGGAAGGCTGAGGTGGAAAGATCGCCGTAGCCCAGCAGGTCGAGGCTGCAGTGGCTGGGAGGGTCCACTGCACTCCAGTCTCGGTGACAGAGTGAGACTCCAACTCAAAAAAAGAAAAAAAAAATCAGAAGCCGGGCTCAGTGGCTCAACCTGTAATCCCGCACCTTGGGAGGATGAGGTGAGTGGATTGCCTGAGCCTGTGGGTTCGAGACCCGCCTGAGCAGCGAGACCTCATCTCTACAATAAATCAAAAAATCAGCCGGGCGTGGTAATGCGTCCCTGTAATTCCGGCTACTTGGAAGGCTGAGGCAGAAGGATCGCCGGAGCCCAGCAGGCAAGGCTGCGGTGGCCAGAAGCGGCCACTGCACTCCAGTCTGGGCAACTGAGTGAGACTCCAACTCAAAAAAAAAGAAACAGGATCAGAGGGGGGTGGTTAAAGAAACAGGATCTCACTCTACCACCCAGGCTGACTGGCTAATTTTTTTATTTTAATTTTTGTGGAGACTGGGTCTTGCTATGTTGCAAAGGCTGATCTTAAACTCCTGGCCTCAGGCGATCTTCACACCTCAGCCTCCCAAAATGCTGGAATTGCAGGCATGAGTCACTGTACCTGGCCCCTAGCACTCTTTCTTATCTGGGAGCTCTCCTTGTGGGATCCTTCCTAGCCCAAGCTCCAGACTGTGCATCCAGTGAGGATGGCACTTCTCAGCCTTGACCATCCATTAGAATCCCTTGCAGGGTGTGTGCAAACATAAACTGCTGGGTCCACCTCCAGAGTGGTAGATTCAGTAAGTCTGGGGTGGGGACCGAGACTTCGAATCTCTGACAAATTCAGGTGATGCCAACACTGCCGATCAGGAAGCCACCCTTTAAGAACTACTGCCCCACGTGGTAGCGCACACCTGTAGTTCCAGCTACTTGGAAGGCTGAGGCGGAAGGATCGCCAGAGCCCAGCGGATCGAGGCTGCGGTGGCCGGGAGCGGCCACTGCACTCCACTCTGGGCGACAGAGTGAGACTCCAACTCAAAAAAAAGAAGAAGAACTGCTGCCCCAGAAGAAATATATTAAGTCATTCTTTGAACCTTCTACATGGAAATGCCCTCATCTCGTTAACATGGGAGGGGTCTCCTTCCTTCAGAAAGCTTTGTATTTGTTTTCATTTTACTCGTTATTTTGAAATTATTTCAAACTTACAGAGAAGTCATAAGTGAAAGGTGATACCTATAGAAACCTAGAAGAAACTTAGCTTATTCTTAGTTTAGTCTTTTTGCCTCAGCATAACCATTAGA